CCCGTGCTCGTGGACCCGAGCTGCTGTCAGGCTACAGCGGCGAGTTCGTGGGCGAGGGCAGCCGCTCCGCACGCAGGCGCCGTTCCGCATACAGGACATCACGTGGGTGGGCCCCCCTGTCTCCTACGTTCACAATTCTCCACCTCGTTCATCATTTGATAATCCTCAAATTTTGAACGAACACCAGGAGAACACCATGAACATCACTAGAGAGATTCAGGTCAAAACCAGGCCAAATCAGCTGTGTCACTATACCGCGACTGCCTACGTACCCTCCACCGGGATCAAGCTAACCGTAGTTCTGAAATTATTCTCCAACATAGTCTCCACCTCACCTCCATCATCGCCCCGAAGGGCCATGCCCTCTTGGGCATATCAACACGGGCTGATATGAAGCAAGTCCAAGCAATGCTGGAACTTGCTGCCTGTGACCACCTTGGTTAACATGTCCGCGGGATTCTCATTCGTATGCACCTTCATGAGAGAAATATCACCTTCCTCTATGACATCCCGCACAAAATGATATCTGACGTCGATATGCTTGGTACGAGCATGATGAACTTGATTTTTCGCCAAGTGAATCGCACTTTGACTGTCGCACCACAAGTTCACGCTTTCCTGCTCAATCCCCAAATCGTCTAGAAGACCCCACAGCCACAATGCTTCCTTCACTCCCTCCGCCATGGCCATGTACTCGGCCTCTGTAGTAGAAAGTGCCACTGTAGCCTGCAACATCGATCGCCAACTAACTGGAGCTCCATGTATCCTGAATACATACCCAGTAGTAGATCGACGTCTATCTAGATCGCCCGCATAATCTGAGTCCAACAAACCCATCAATCTGACATGTATCTCCACCAAAACACAGACCCGTATCCGCGGTACCTTTCAAGTACCTCAGGACCCATTTCACCGCTTCCCAGTGCGCCTTTCCCGGATTCGCCATGAACCTGCTGACCACACTAACCGCTTGTGAAATATCAGGGCGTGTACACACCATTGCGTACATCAAACTGCCAACTGCACTAGCATAGGGAACACGCTCCATGTGTGCCTTA